GTGGCCCAATTCTAGGTAATTTATTCAATAGAAAACAGAACATGTGATTATTCACAGCCTGAACATGAACATTGGTATCTCATAGCAGCATTATTCATAATTGCCCCAAACTGGAAAGAACCCAAATGTTCTTCAGTGGGTAAACGGCTGAACAAACGGTGGTACACTCATCTGGTGGAATACTACTCAGCAAGGGAAAGGGATGAACCGCTGATAGATGCAGCAAAATGGATGAATCTCAAATACGCAGTGCTGAGTAAAGGAAGCCAGGCTATGACCCATTTGCATGATATCTGGACAAAGCAGAATTATCAGTCAGAAAACAGACCGGTGAGTTGTCAGAAGCATGGAGCAGGGCTAGGATTGACTACAAAGGGTGGCACGGGGACACCTACAGGGGATTGTGGTGGTGGTTACATGACTGCACACTTCGGTCAAAACTTACAGAACTATACTAACAAGAGTGGATTTATTGTCTGCAAATTATAATCCCATAAACTTAACCATATCAACACAAAGGTTGTGGCCCCAGAATGGGCACCACCAGAGCCACCAGACTGCTGGGGAAGCCTCTAGCTTTTTAGAAGTAAAGACATTTGGCAGTAAAAATGAGAAGCCCTTAGAGGCGTTGCTGCCTGGTGGGGCCCAAGCTCAGGACACACAGTGCCATCTCCTGGGATCAAATCTAAGGAGAGGTACTGCAAGGGGAGGTCAGGGGCTTCCTCAGTCACATGGGCCCTGGGCCTGAGCCTCAGCAGCTCTCAGGAGAAGTGCCTCGGGTGCTCTTCATGTGGCTTTCTGGTGGCCCTGAGCTATGCCCTTATCACTATATGTGTCCCTGTCTCCACTCGCTGGGCACCCTCTGGCCTCCGGGAGCTCAAGTCAGTCCCCCAAAGAAGGAGGGCAGCTCAAAGGAGTCCTCCTTCCGGCCTTCCTTTATTGCCCCCTGAATATGGGAAAGCATTTTTGTTTCTTGATTATAGAAGTAATACATGATGTTGAAAAAACATTCAAATACCATAGAAGCATCTGAAAAAGAAAGCAAAACAGCCAAGCCACTCTTCAAGTGTATCCTCTTAAATGAAGCAGATATAAAATACCTCTGTCCATGCAGAATGGAACATTACACTGCTCAGAGGGTGGGAATGCCGCCTCTTCTACCCCAAGGTGTGTGACTGCAAGCAAGTTACTTAACCATCCACCCCTCCTTTTCCTCATCTGTAAAATGAGGATCATGATATGGTATCTGTTCCTAATGTTATTAAGAATTTTTTTTTTTTTTTTTTTTTGAGACGGAGCCTCAAGCTGTCACCCTGGGTAGAGTGCCATGGCATCAC